GGCAAGCATAGTCGCCTTTTACGGCAAGCATACTCGCCTTTTACGGCAAGCATAGTCGCCTTTTACAGCAAGCATAGTCGCCTTTTACGGCAAGCATAGTCGCCTTTTACAGCAAGCATAGTCGCCTTTTACAGCAAGCATAGTCGCCTTTTACAGCAAGCATAGTCGCCTTTTACAGCAAGCATAGTCGCCTTTTACAACAAGCATGGTCGCCTTTTACGGCAAGCATAGTCGCCTCTTACAACAAGCATAGTCGCCTCTTACAACAAGCATAGTCGCCTCTTACAACAAGCATAGTCGCCTTTTACGGCAAGCATGGGTTGCTGAAGACCTATAATAACAGGTAGGAGGAATTGATGAAGGGATACGCTACCAGTCAAGTGAGCCTTGTCACGAATTATGTCAGCTACAGCTTTCCCCTCCCATTTCTCTTCATGGTCGACCGTGGACATTTCGTTAAAAACAAAACGACGCATGGTCTATTGATTATTCTCTTTCATGTTTTGTCCTACTAGGGTTTCAACTCTCATTGATCACATGGGCGGTTGAGTTAACGGGCCACATCCAGTTCAGCTGTAAGTATGGAGTTTGGAGTTTACACCCTTTTGTATAGAGTGTCGGTTACAGTATAGTATAGCGGCTTCTTGTAGGAAGAACACACGTGGCTCGGCCGGGTCGATTACCTTGTCTGCCTAACGCTGAAGGGTGGGTGGCAGGACTAAATCTGCACCCTGTTCAGATGTGTGGTTGGGAGCCACAAGGACATGACAATGCTGCACACGTTGTTATCATTTGTGACTATTGACGATGGCGCCACCTGTGCTCGCTATCATTTTGTCAATATCCTGATTGCCAGTTAATATCACACGCATGAATGTAACTAGTTGTGTCACAAAAAGCCACGGATTCCAGTTGGTGTTTTACAGCGTGAGCTGCCTTCTGCACTTTAGATCGAACTGAGGGATATCAAGTCAAGACAGTATGCGGCTCAGTAAGTAATATTGACAGTAGTAGTACTCAAACGTTTGTTATTTCCCATTCTTCAGATGAAGCGTTTTGTTTATAGATTTTTAGTGAGTGAGTTGGGTTTAACGCCGCTTTTAACATTATTCCAGTTATATCACGGCGTGTCAACTTAATGTGGGAGGAAAGCCCGAAGTGATGCAGGTCTCAGACATTTACCACTTCGGTGAAATCCATGAGCACGGGTTAGCGCTGACAAAACATAATCGGGGCGAACCGGGATTCGAACTCACAATCATAGGTTTCTGGCGTGCCAAAGGGACGCAACTCTGCACAGCGAATCGCGGCGCCTTAAACGACTGGGCCACCCGTGCCCCCTCGCCCAGGTGAACACTACCAAGCTGACTGTCGTTTATTTCCCGATGAACGTCAGTATATCACGTGATTTCGTTGTCAATCGAGCGGAGACATACAGAAATACTTTAGGGGGATTCCTCAATGTCTAAACATAACATTAAAAATCATTTGGGAAAACTGAGAGCGACATCGATTCAAGCTATGAATGATGAAGGCTTTGAAGCCAGACGGATCATGTATATGTCGGGTCACCGAAATGAAGCATCCATTCGAAGCCATAACAGAATGCTCGACTTACCAAACGAAATCACTGAGCTCCCCACTGCCGTGTATTGCTTCGGGAAATCCAACCGCGCCGCCTCAAGCGGTAATCCCCGTCATCAGCAGCCGTAGTATGACTCAAACACCCCAAAAGTTCACAGAACGATGATATCAATCCATTTTCAGCTTCAGTCGGGTCTGGATTTCTTTCCAATGCTAACTTTACTTGGTGCAACTTTTATAAATGGCATTGCCGTAGCCGCCATTTTCTGCCGTTTGTAAAACTAAGGGATGTCACTCCAGATGATATGTTTGGGACAGAAGACGTCACGACCCTCAGCGTTCATATAGTTCGCTTTAAATAATTAAAGTTTGATGTTTAATAGATTGTTTTGCTATGGTCTATGTATCTGTCAATATGAGGATTGAAGTTATATTTTTTGACGTGTATCAGCTGATGAAGACAGTGCCTCAGTCACGTGAGCAAATTTACCATGATGCGCGAATTTGCTCACAACATTCAAGGCTTCAGTAAATTGTTCCAAATATTTTATAGCAGATCTGCTGAGGACATTTCCAAGTCTGACGCATCAGGGAAAAAATTATGCAAATTCCTATTTTGACTTGTACCATATGTTCCCGTTTTTTTTAGATGAAAAATTGCCTTGCCTTTGCATGTGTTTGTGACGGGAGCCACTGATAGGACAGGATACGCTCACCTTTTCGGGAACACCTGGTATCATCACTATTTAATAGTGATTCACAAACACATGCTCGTGATATAGTCGGAATCGTACCATGGACTCTGCTTTATGCGGAGATTTCTGTTGGATATGGAAATGATTTTGTCGCTTTATTAACATATGCTTTGCTTTGCTGCTTTTATTGCTAACACGTTAAATCACAATAACTAAAGTTGACGTGTGTGACAAGCTTCTTTAATATCATACGCACGAACTCGTCTCTGCCGTTAATGGGATTATCAGGGATTTCAACGGGGACTGTTACAATCTATTGGATGACGCTATGCCCATATGAACACAGGCCCATTTCTGGATCCTGGACATGCAATATTATCTCGGGGGTTGACTGTGAGTATTGCTACTTAAGATTACGTACTGGGCTGAGAATGAGCATATTCTGTCACGTTGACATTGTGTTATGCATACGGGTTCAATATTTGCCCAGTTGATATTTATAAAGGGGGGTGGGGGTTGGGGGAGGGGTGGGTGGGTGGGTAATAAAGGTCTCATCTTCATCCACACCGAAGGGCAAGTGCACGTAGGCCACGTCCTGTTTGTTCGTCGTCTGTGAACATCTACTCCGAAATCACTGCACCTTTGAGATAGGAAACATGTTCCCACCAAGTTCTTGCGATATTCAATATGATCGCCACAGAAGCCATATTGAAAAAGCCACTGTAACCACTGGACAGCCATATTTGCAGAAAACGAAGTCAAATGTGGCAAACGCGTCCTGTGTTATGAGGCTAAATATACATATTCCGTACTTCTCTGTATTCAAATTTGACTTTTAAAATTCGTACTACCCCCAAACTCACATATGTTCTAATTTCTTCTGAAACTTTGAAAGGATGAGGGCATTGATGAAATACGTTTGTTCTCACAATTATAATGCCTGACTATATATGTTCCAGAAACATGTTTGCAATATGTCCGTCATGACAGCCATATTGGGAAACGTATTTGTGACTGTTAATCAGCATACTGTTGTTTCAAAATATATGAGAGTTTGTAAATATGTAGTCGGTAGTAGGGCTCAATTCTTATGATCCATGTTCGCGGTTTTGCAGATGTTAACCTTTACACTTCGACCATGCTCCTAAACTCTCTAACAATGCACATCCTTGAACTCCTCAGCAATCACTGGTCAGTTTCGGTACTTTGTCTAACTGCGTGTATCTGTGCTCCTGGTGTCAGTCACTAGATTGTCTGGTCCAGACTCGGTAACAGTCCGCCATCATGTCGCAGAAATATTGCCAAGACATAAAAAATAGCGAACTTGTGTCACTGAAACATGATAATATGAATACATGAGATTCTCGTATATTATCCAAGTCAAAGATTTTGAAGTAACAATGATTCATTAAACATTTCAGCAGCTGAAACCTTAACTGATAGTTAACTTTAACAAGTACTCATTTTGTCCACTATCCTCATGAAAGAAGTTCCAGTGTTGAACACATATCCACAATATTGAACCTGATGCGTTACATGCAATCGAATATATACTTAAAGCTAAAAACTAATGTTTTGTTGTGGCGGACCACACAATTTCGTGAAAATATCCCCAAATATCTTATGATCCCAATTTTTTTTTTCATTATATGTCGCGAACGTCGTGTACGAGAGATATATCTCACAATCGTGATATATTTGATCAAGCCGATCTGGTGGTTGGTTGGCTTGTTGTTTAACGCCGCACTCAGCAATATTCCAGCTATATGACGGCGGTCTGTAAATAATCGAGTCTGGACCAGACAATCCAGTTATTGGCATCATGAGCATCGATGTTATGCATCAACCAAATCAGCGAGCCTTACCACCCGATACCTTTAGTCGCCCCTTGCGATAACCATAGTCGCCTTTTATGGATGTGCACACTGCGTAAATATACAGTATGCACACCTATAAACCTCAAGACCGCCTCCGTGGTCTAGTGGTAGAGCGTCCGCCGGGAGAGCGGAAGGTCCGGGGTTCGATCCCCGGCCGCGTCATACCAAAAGACGTTGAAAGATGGTACATGTTGTTACCCTGTCTCGGGCTGGGCATTAAGGGGCTAAAACAAGGACTGGTCGGCTCGGAGTCAGTATACTGTGTCTCAGTGGGGTATTCATGTTAAACTGCGGCATGGTATCTCAGTGTGCTAGCACTATAAATCGGCATCAGTCAGGACTAGTACAAGCAGCCACACACACGTGCATATAAGTACAATAATCTTGGACGCGACGTTAAACCCAATTTCAACTCACCTATAAACCTCAACAAACGTATATACATTGAAGTCAGTTCTTAAACATATACTTATGTATGCATCAATAACTATACATCTGGGGGGGCACGGGTGGCCCAGTCGTCTGAGGCGCCGCGATTCGCTGTGCAGAGTTGCGTCCCTTGGGCACGCCAGAAACCTATGATTGTGGGTTCGAATTCCGGTTCGCCCGGATTATGTTTCTAGGTTTGTCAGCACCATACCCGTGCTCGTGGGCTTCACCGAAGTGGTAAACGTCTGAGACCTGCATCACTTCGGGCTTTCCTCCCACATTAAGCTGACACACCGTGATATAACTGGAATAGTGTTAAAAGCGGCGTTAATTAAACCCAACTCACTCACTCACTTACTATACATCTTACATTCGTAATTAATGCGACCTGAACTAAAAACATTTATGATTCCAGCTCACCTCTACAGGCTGGTTGGCCGACATTTCAAGGCATTGCTGATACTGGCCACTGTGTGCCTTGGTTTTTACCTGATACGATACTGGTTGGCGTCGGTGTCGTACAAACAAGCATTCAAATGGTTCTTCAAGTTGCGATATGGAGAGTACAGGGACCCATTTATAAACCAGCATCGATATGAATACATTCTGTCGCCTACAGTTTGCTCTCAACGAAACTTCAACATATTCATCACTGTACAATCAGGGCCAACAAATACGAAACGCAGACAAGTGATCCGGGCAAGCTACGGATCCCTCCATCGCTTCCATGGCCTTTCGATAGCTCTGGTGTTTATGCTTGGCAGTGTTAATGATTCCATCCTTCAAGAAAAGATAACCAGGGAATTTAGAGATCACAACGACATTGTGCAAGGCAACTCGTATGATGGTTACACCTTTCTCAACCGGAAACATATCATGGCCATGGACTGGTTCTTGAAGAACTGCCAGTCCGATTTTGTAGTGAAGCTAGATGACGACACGTTTGTTAATCCGTACCGTCTCGTTGATTACATGTCAAGTTTGAAGAAGCCCGTACCTAATATGATGTTTTGTAAAGTGATGAAAAATGAGATCCCAGTTCGTGAGCCGAGCTCCAAATGGCACACGCCATATTATCAGTACCCGTTTCAGAAGTTTCCGCCTTTTTGTTTAGGATTTGCTTATGTGACAACGCCTAAGGTTTGGGCGACCCTGTATGCAGCATCTGAAACTAACCGACCAATGGATATGGATGATGTTTATGTGAGCGCAGTGTTAGGAGCTTCCACAGGTCTCCAGTTGAAGGACATCGGAGACTTAATGTACGACTGTATCAAGCACCAGCGGACTGTGAATATGGAATCGTTGCGAAGGTCTGTACTTGTACTGGACAGATGGAACAACTGCGGGGATCAACCTTTTAAACACTGGGAGGACATAAAACAGTATTACAATGAGAAAAGCAGTGTTATTGGCTTCTGAACAAATGTCGTAAAAAAAGGCTTTAAGCAATACGGTCATCCATTCAGATACTTTAACATGAAAATGTGTTGTTTGACGAGGGTTGTCTTGTGATATCAGAATATGATCTTATATAAGCAACACATTTTTTTCAGTTTTAGGAACTTGACTGGCCGTCGCCCAAAAGGTTCTGTAAGTCCCCACGGTCCCTAGTTTTTAGCTCACCGGGTGCGAAGGACCAAGGTGAGCTTATGCCAAACCGTGGCGTCCGTCGTCCGTCGTCGGTACGTCAACAATTTATTCAAACGACTTCTTCTTCTAAACCACTAATTTGAAATTAACGAAATTTGACTGGAAGCATCCCAGGGTGGTGGGGATTCAAAATTGTACAAATGGTGGGGCTGAGGGGCGGGCCCAAATAGGGGTCATGTGGCTATATTGCTTTAAACTACTTCTTCTCTGGAACTAAGAGATATATATCAACCATATTCGGTTGGAAGCATTCTCCGGTGGTGAGGATTCCAATTTGTACAAATTGAGGGGCCTATCCCCCAAAAGGCTGAGGGGCGGCCCAAATAGGGGTCATTTGGCTATATTGCTTTAAACTACTTCTTCTCTGGAACTAAGAGATATATATCAACCATATTCGGTTGGAAGCATTCTCCGGTGGTGAGGATTCCAATTTGTACAAATTGAGGGGCCGATCCCCCAAAAGGCTGAGGGGCGGACCAAATAGGGGTCATTTGGCTATATTGCTTTAAACTACTTCTTCTCTTGAACTAAGAGATATATATCAACCATATTCGGTTGGAAGCATTCTCCGGTGGTGAGGATTCCAATTTGTACAAATTGAGGGGCCTATCCCCCAAAAGGCTGAGGGGCGGCCCAAATAGGGGTCATTTGGCTATATTGCTTTAAACTACTTCTTCTCTTGAACTAAGAGATATATATCAACCATATTCGGTTGGAAGCATTCTCCGGTGGTGAGGATTCCAATTTGTACAAATTGAGGGGCCGATCCCCCAAAAGGCTGAGGGGCGGCCCAAATAGGGGTCATGTGGCTATATTGCTTTAAACTACTTCTTCTCTTGAACTAAGAGATATATATCAACCATATTCGGTTGGAAGCATTCTCCGGTGGTGAGGATTCCAATTTGTACAAATTGAGGGGCCGATCCCCCAAAAGGCTGAGGGGCGGCCCAAATAGGGGTCATTTGGCTATATTGCTTTAAACTACTTCTTCTCTTGAACTAAGAGATATATATCAACCATATTCGGTTGGAAGCATTCTCCGGTGGTGAGGATTCCAATTTGTACAAATTGAGGGGCCGATCCCCCAAAAGGCTGAGGGGCGGCCCAAATAGGGGTCATGTGGCTATATTGCTTTAAACTACTTCTTCTCTTGAACTAAGAGATATATATCAACCATATTCGGTTGGAAGCATTCTCCGGTGGTGAGGATTCCAATTTGTACAAATTGAGGGGCCGATCCCCCAAAAGGCTGAGGGGCGGCCCAAATAGGGGTCATGTGGCTATATTGCTTTAAACTACTTCTTCTCTTGAACTAAGAGATATATATCAACCATATTCGGTTGGAAGCATTCTCCGGTGGTGAGGATTCCAATTTGTACAAATTGAGGGGCCGATCCCCCAAAAGGCTGAGGGGCGGCCCAAATAGGGGTCATGTGGCTATATTGCTTTAAACTACTTCTTCTCTTGAACTAAGAGATATATATCAACCATATTCGGTTGGAAGCATTCTCCGGTGGTGAGGATTCCAATTTGTACAAATTGAGGGGCCGATCCCCCAAAAGGCTGAGGGGCGGCCCAAATAGGGGTCATGTGGCTATATTGCTTTAAACTACTTCTTCTCTGGAACTAAGAGATATATATCAACCATATTCGGTTGGAAGCATTCTCCGGTGGTGAGGATTCCAATTTGTACAAATTGAGGGGCCGATCCCCCAAAAGGCTGAGGGGCGGCCCAAATAGGGGTCATGTGGCTATATTGCTTTAAACTACTTCTTCTCTGGAACTAAGAGATATATATCAACCATATTCGGTTGGAAGCATTCTCCGGTGGTGAGGATTCCAATTTGTACAAATTGAGGGGCCGATCCCCCAAAAGGCTGAGGAGCGGCCCAAATAGGGGTCATTTGGCCATATTGCTTTAAACTACTTCTTCTCTGGAACTAAGAGATATATATCAACCATATTCGGTTGGAAGCATTCTCCGGTGGTGAGGATTCCAATTTGTACAAATTGAGGGGCCGATCCCCCAAAAGGCTGAGGGGCGGCCCAAATAGGGGTCATTTGGCTATATTGCTTTAAACTACTTCTTCTCTGGAACTAAGAGATATATATGAACCATATTCGGTTGGAAGCATTCTCCGGTGGTGAGGATTCCAATTTGTACAAATTGAGGGGCCGATCCCCCAAAAGGCTGAGGGGCGGCCCAAATAGGGGTCATTTGGCTATATTGCTTTAAACTACTTCTTCTCTGGAACTAAGAGATATATATCAACCATATTCGGTTGGAAGCATTCTCCGGTGGTGAGGATTCCAATTTGTACAAATTGAGGGGCCGATCCCCCAAAAGGCTGAGGGGCGGCCCAAATAGGGGTCATTTGGCTATATTGCTTTAAACTACTTCTTCTCTGGAACTAAGAGATATATATCAACCATATTCGGTTGGAAGCATTCTCCGGTGGTGAGGATTCCAATTTGTACAAATTGAGGGGCCGATCCCCCAAAAGGCTGAGGGGCGGCCCAAATAGGGGTCATTTGGCTATATTGCTTTAAACTACTTCTTCTCTGGAACTAAGAGATATATATCAACCATATTCGGTTGGAAGCATTCTCCGGTGGTGAGGATTCCAATTTGTACAAATTGAGGGGCCGATCCCCCAAAAGGCTGAGGGGCGGCCCAAATAGGGGTCATTTGGCTATATTGCTTTAAACTACTTCTTCTCTGGAACTAAGAGATATATATCAACCATATTAGGTTGGAAGCATTCTCCGGTGGTGAGGATTCCAATTTGTACAAATTGAGGGGCCGATCCCCCAAAAGGCTGAGGGGCGGCCCAAATAGGGGTCATTTGGCTATATTGCTTTAAACTACTTCTTCTCTGGAACTAAGAGATATATATCAACCATATTCGGTTGGAAGCATTCTCCGGTGGTGAGGATTCCAATTTGTACAAATTGAGGGGCCGATCCCCCAAAAGGCTGAGGGGCGGCCCAAATAGGGGTCATTTGGCTATATTGCTTTAAACTACTTCTTCTCTGGAACTAAGAGATATATATCAACCATATTCGGTTGGAAGCATTCTCCGGTGGTGAGGATTCCAATTTGTACAAATTGAGGGGCCGATCCCCCAAAAGGCTGAGGGGCGGCCCAAATAGGGGTCATTTGGCTATATTGCTTTAAACTACTTCTTCTCTGGAACTAAGAGATATATATCAACCATATTAGGTTGGAAGCATTCTCCGGTGGTGAGGATTCCAATTTGTACAAATTGAGGGGCCGATCCCCCAAAAGGCTGAGGGGCGGCCCAAATAGGGGTCATTTGGCTATATTGCTTTAAACTACTTCTTCTCTGGAACTAAGAGATATATATCAACCATATTCGGTTGGAAGCATTCTCCGGTGGTGAGGATTCCAATTTGTACAAATTGAGGGGCCGATCCCCCAAAAGGCTGAGGGGCGGCCCAAATAGGGGTCATTTGGCTATATTGCTTTAAACTACTTCTTCTCTGGAACTAAGAGATATATATGAACCATATTCGGTTGGAAGCATTCTCCGGTGGTGAGGATTCCAATTTGTACAAATTGAGGGGCCGATCCCCCAAAAGGCTGAGGGGCGGCCCAAATAGGGGTCATTTGGCTATATTGCTTTAAACTACTTCTTCTCTGGAACTAAGAGATATATATCAACCATATTCGGTTGGAAGCATTCTCCGGTGGTGAGGATTCCAATTTGTACAAATTGAGGGGCCGATCCCCCAAAAGGCTGAGGGGCGGCCCAAATAGGGGTCATTTGGCTATATTGCTTTAAACTACTTCTTCTCTGGAACTAAGAGATATATATCAACCATATTCGGTTGGAAGCATTCTCCGGTGGTGAGGATTCCAATTTGTACAAATTGAGGGGCCGATCCCCCAAAAGGCTGAGGGGCGGCCCAAATAGGGGTCATTTGGCTATATTGCTTTAAACTACTTCTTCTCTGGAACTAAGAGATATATATCAACCATATTAGGTTGGAAGCATTCTCCGGTGGTGAGGATTCCAATTTGTACAAATTGAGGGGCCGATCCCCCAAAAGGCTGAGGGGCGGCCCAAATAGGGGTCATTTGGCTATATTGCTTTAAACTACTTCTTCTCTGGAACTAAGAGATATATATCAACCATATTCGGTTGGAAGCATTCTCCGGTGGTGAGGATTCCAATTTGTACAAATTGAGGGGCCGATCCCCCAAAAGGCTGAGGGGCGGCCCAAATAGGGGTCATTTGGCTATATTGCTTTAAACTACTTCTCTGGTACTAGTATGGAAGGAATCCCTTTGGCAAGTGTCATATAAGGTGTAGTTTTATCAATAGTATCATAAAAAGGTTGCCAGCCAGTGTAACATCATATGATGTCAGGTACTGGTTTGAAAAAACAAACATACTCCACAACCACTTTGTTGATGAGGGTGCGTGGGGAAGTGGAGAAGGAGGGAAAATGGTTTCTTCCTTCTAATGTCGACTTCTTGATGACTTGATGACTCAGTGTTATTTAGGCTGGTGCTGGTGTCAATACTGCATGATATAAATACTTTAAGTACTTATATAAGCTATCACAGTTTGGACGCGCCCTGGGAGAAATAATATTATTTGTGACAAATAACATTTCAAAATATCTCAAATGCGCCCGGTATTCTAAACAACAATTTGTAGCCATGTGAAAAACAAGTTTTAGTTATCTTTACAAATGTTCAACCAGTGATCAAGATGGCGCGACGATAAACGTTTAGACAAAAGGAATTGACCTCGTCCTAGATTCTTAAATTGATGTTACAGCTAACTTGTCACCTGTTAAAACAATACTTTGTGGCGATCTTTAATGCTTAGTCCTGGACGACTGGATGATTACACTGATGACAGTTTCAGACAAGTGACAGAAGATGTGAAAACACAACGCCATTTGAAAGTGGTCAGATGTATCAAATGTTATGTTTGGGATAACACTTTCTTAGTCAAGTACAGATTCTCGTACTTTGGGGGTTGATTCCCGTTGAATCTGAACTTTACTAGGAAAGTGTTGTCCCAAATATAACATTTGTCATAACAGATGATGATTTATTAACGG